TCGAGGAGTCCGCGCGGGCCCTGCAGCCGGGCCCGGGCCCGGGCGCCGAGGCGGCGGCCATCCCGCTGCTGGCCCGCGCGGGCGGCGCGGCCGAGGCCCCCGAGTCGGCGGGCGCAGACTACGAGGCGGTGCCGGTGGAGGCCTACGGGCTGGCCATGCTGCGGGGCATGGGCTGGAGGCCGGGGGAGGGCATCGGGCGCACCTTCAAGCAGGTGGTGAAGCCGCGGGAGAACCCCCTGCGCCCCAAGGGGCTCGGGCTGGGGGCCAGCCTGGCCCCGCCCGCGGGCCCCCCGGGGGAGGCCGAGGAGGCCGCGGAGGCCGCGGGCCTGGCGCCCGGGAGGGCCGTGCGGGTGCTGGCCGGGCCCCACCGCGGCCGCTACGGCAGGGTGCAGGGGCTGGACCCCGACAACGCCAGGGCCGTGGTGAAGCTGGCCCCGTCCGGCCCCGTGGCCACCCTGAGCGAGCACGTGCTCGGGCCGGTCCCGGCCCGGGAGTACGAGAGGCAGGCCCGGGCCGCCGGCGCCCCCGAGCCGGGAGGCGGAGGGGCCCCCGAGAAGAAGCGCGGGAAGCAGCCCGCCCCCCACTGGCTGCGCAGAGACCTCCGCGTGCGCTTCGTGGACAGGCGGCACGGCGAGGGCCGCTACTACAACGCCAAGATGACCATCGAGGACGTCCTGAGCCCGGACACGTGCGTGTGCAGGACGGACGAGGGCCGGCTCCTGGAGGGCCTCCGAGAGGACATGCTGGAGACCCTGATCCCCAAGGAGGAGAAGGCCAGGGTCATGGTGGTGCTGGGGCCGCACCGGGGCCAGGTGGGCCGGCTCCTGGGCCGGGACAGGGAGAAGAGCCGGGCCCTGGTGCAGCTGCTGCAGGAGGAGGCCGAGGGCACCGTCCTGCAGCTGGACTACGATGCTGTGTGCCACTACGTGGGGCCTGTGGCCGAGGACTGAGGCCCCTTCCGTCTCCCGACCCTGTGTCTGCGTCTTCTTGGGGTGACTGAGGAGCGTGATGCGGCGCACGACTGGGCGGGGGGAGCCTCGTGTCCCCCTGTGCCTTCGGGTGGTCTTGGCGGAGCCCCCGGCGCCATCATCATCGTGCCTTGGCCTTCTGGGGCAGGGGCAGAGAGGACGAGGGGAGATCGCGGACCCTGCCTGCCGGCCTTCCCTTGGCCGGTTCCTGTTTCTTGTCTAAATAAAGATGTGTTTTCCAAAAATAAAAAATCTTAATCGCTGAGCGTTCAGGACAGGTCGCCAGGGGATAATCAGTCACAGGACATCTAGATGAAATGTTGAGGGGTAAAAAGCAGTGCCAGAAGGCCCTTCGTTCGTAGGACTTAAGAAGAAGTTAAATCCCTGGCCAGTATTCAGAGCCTGGAAATGTTGGTAATAGCAGTCCTTGCAAACTGCACCAGAGGGTTCACTGGCTCTGATTCCAGGTTCATTGTCAGAAATTAGTAGAGGTGCTGATATTTGAGGCTGTTGGGCATAAGACAGACACATCTCGCCTTCTTCATTCACATTCAGTGTCTAATACCACCCACACAGACACTGCTATCCTAGACAATTCCGTTACTCACTCAGTCCTCTGGATTTCTACGTCCCCTCTGAACTGAATTGATCCCAAGAGAATATCTTCTCTTTCCCCTTAGGGCTCAGGTTACACCACATTCCATGCAGGTATTTCTTTCTTCTTAGAACAGTTAAAGCCCACCACCCTTCCCCAAGATCACCTCTGTGCATGGACCCAGGTCCCTGCAGTCTCAGCTGGACTCGTTAATTCTATCCAACCCCACGTGGACTTGACATCGATGCCCCTGTTTCTACTCCAGGGCATCCTCTTCTCGTAGACATTACTGCCTCTTTGAATATTCAGCCAGCTAAATTAGCTCCCACCTGGGCTGTTTTGTGGAGTTTATGCTAGATAAATTAGAGACACGATCATAATGGCTCACAGCCTCCAATTAGAAAGGAGCCAGTTGAGAAGACAGTCCTATGCCAGCTCAAGTGAAAGGTGGTCTCGATTGCCAGATGATGCTGAGACAGCTGTTTTTTACCCGATTTGTTAAAAGGTGGTTTTGAGAAAAGGCCAGCAGAGAGAGGCATTGTCTAGACCTAGGTGGTCATGCTGGGGAAGGTTGACAGCCTGTTAGGATCCCCAGAGTAACGAGGGGCACACCCACAATGTGTAAGGGCTGCGTGCTATTTGCACTTGACACTGGAAATGGGAGGAAGGGGAGAAGGGGCAGGAAGCTGAAACTTGTCCATCCATCTCGGCTAAGGCCTGAGGACCAGCAGGACCCTGGTGCAGAGATTCTGAGGTTTGCTGTTGTAAAGAATGACCGTTGTGATCTCCGCCATCTCAGCTGGTGCACGCTGAGTACCTGGCCCCTTGTGTTTCCTTCCCCCATCTCCAGAGGGAATCCAGATTAACCACCCACTCACTGACCGCATCTTGCCCTTCTTAGAAAGGAGGGGAGTGGCCAGTTAAGGTCCTTCCAGGCTGTAGCGCCAGGAAGCTAGCTTGCTGCGTGAACTGTTGGCAGTTACCCATAAGTATGTAAAGCCATTGGTCGCTAAAACCGTCGCTGCACTGGCTTGTGATGATGACTCTGCATGGCGGTGGGTGGCAGCCTTGGTGCCCTTTGAGTTGAAGCTAATGAGGGTTGGGAATGTCCCCCGAATCACCCTGGGAGAGCGTGAGCGTCTAAGTCATCATCCCCTGGTCCGAGTGAGAGACACCTTGGAAAACAGACGCACGCTTGGGGTCCAGGCAGAGACGGAGCCAGCTTTGTGTGGGCTCCGGGATGCAGTGGGATGATACAGCTGCTGACTGGCCTCTGTGTCACCGAGTATCTGGACTTGGAGTTGCTGTGGCAGCTGGTCACCTGGCTGGGAGCATCTGTGCACCAAGCCCAGGTTCCTCGCGTCAGATCGCCCAAGAGAGGCCAAGGACACTGCTAGGTAGGAGCCCCAGAACGAGGGGGGAGGGCTGGGCTCTGCCGACCCTGACAGCGGATTGTGAAAGGATAGACTCGGGGACTGGGAGGATGGTGTTGCCCTCTACGGTGATAGGGAAGGGCTGGGGGAAAAGACAATGAGTTCTGTTTTGGACCTTCCAGTTAACACCTGTGACTCGTCCTGTGGATCAGACAGATGACTTAGCACTCAGTGAGCTACCCTGGGTGGAGGGGGTGGGGGGGTGGAAGAGGGTGTAAGTGGAAGTGATTCAAATAATGAGTGAGGCACCAAGCTGTGTGGAGGACAGTTAAAGGGCGAGGAAGGCTTGTGGTGCATGGAGGGCGTGGCAGGAGCTGTCCTCTGGGCTGGACTGGAAAGGAAGATTCTTAATTGAGTGGAAATAATTGGGAAGGACTGAGACAATAGGAAGGCTAAGTAGCCCAGCTTGGTTGACACCAGCCAGAAGATAGCAGTTGATCCCGAATGGAGGAAAAGTTTCCCTGGAACTGGAAAGTACCTGCTCACAATATGATACTACTAATAATAGCTAAAGTAAATTTGTGTATTCCACGAGATTTCGAGTTCCAAATTTTCTCCCCGTCTGTCCCTCGCCGCCCCAAGATGGCATGCATTCTGAATACTCCTTCCCCTAGTCTGCCCTCCCTTCTATCTCTCCCCGCTTCTCTTATCCCCTTCCCCTTCAGTTTTCCTATAGGGCAGGACAGATTTCTGTACCTCATTTCCTGTATTTCTTATTTCCCAGTTGCACGTGAAAACATTTTTTTAAAACGTGTTTTTAAAACTTTGGGTTCCAAATTCTCTCCCTTCCTCCCTTCCCACCCACCCTCATTGAGAAGGCAAGCAACTCAATATAGGTTATAGATGTGCAGTTACGAAAAACACTTCCAAAGTAGTCATGTTGAAAGGGCAGCTAGGTGGCGCAGTGGATAGAGCACCGGCCCTGAAGTCTGCAGGACCCGAGTTCAAATGCGGCCTCAGACCAAACACTTGACACTTACTAGCTGCGTGACCCTGGGCAAGTCACTTAACCCCAATTGCCTTAAAACAAACAAACAAACAAACATAGTAGTCATATTGTGAAAAACTAAGTATGTTTCCCTTCATCCTATCCCACCCCCCCCATTTATTCTATTCTCTCTTTTGACCCCGTCCCTCCTCAGAAGTGTTTGTAAATCATTTACTATTGACAAGCACTGACTTATGCCCCTTACGATTATGATCTGATTTGATCCTCACACAGGCCTAGGAAGTAAGGTCTATTCTTACCCCTATTTTACAGAGTCCATAGAGAGTGGAGTGGCGGTGGCAGAGGTGGGTGGTGCCAGGATCCTATAGATCCATCTCTGCCCCTCTCTGAAAAGCAGGAGGGACAAGAAAGGATCAAATGCTCTCTAGTGTACTCTCCCCTCTGCCCTGACACCCAAGGCCAGGGTGGATGCAGGGAACACTTCTTCTCCTGTCCTCAGTGATGGCTCTCAACTGATTAAAGTATCATCAGCAGCTCCCTCTTAAGACTGTGAGCTCCTTCAGGCTGGGATTGCCTTTTCTCCTTTGGCCTTCTTTTGTATCCCCAGCTCTTAGCCCATGCTTGACTCATAACAGACAGTTAAGAAATATGTTGTGCAGTCATCTTTCTGTCGTGTCTGACTCTTTGTGACTCCATCTAGGCTTTTCTTGGCCAAGATTCTAGAGTGGTTTGCTATTTCCTTCTCCAGCTCATTTTACAGATGAGGAAACTGAGGCAAATAGGGTTAAGTGACTTGCCCAGAGTGACACAGCTAGGAAGTGTCGGATTTGAACTCAGAAGATGAGTCTTCCTGACTCCCGGTGCTCTGTCCACTGTGCCACCCTAGTTAATCAATGCTAGGTGACTAATTTGCAAAGAGAACTTTGTTCTCCTTCTCCCCCCAACTCTTCAGGTCAATCTGAGGGAATACAATGGAGAGAGACCTTGCTGACCACTGAACAAGGCTCCTATTGGACGAATCTGCCCAGGGTGGCTGCATCAAGGACCACACAGCCCTGTCCTGGGATTCCCTGCTGTGTTGTAGGGAAGTCCCCCAGTACACACGTTCAGTCTGCTGGTCTACCCTTTCCTGATCAGCTGATGGGGGACGCAGAAGCCAGCCTCACCCATCTCCGCCATCTAAGCCAGATGGCCTCCCTGCCTCGCTGCCTGGAGAAGTGGGGGCCTACAGCTGATTTTGGCTCAGATAAAATCAGATCTTTCTGGAAAAGAGCAGAAAGGTCTCCTGAAGGCGTCAGAGGGCAGCAGAGTAATGCACACTTTATATATTGGAAAGCCCTTTGCTTCCGCACTATCTGGAACCAGAGGTAACCCTAAGTCTTCCTTGTGAGCTCAAGGTCCTCTCTTATTATTGTTTTTTTTTTCATTTTATTTAGAATAAACCATTCCCAAAGGGTTCTCAGAGCTCACTGGCACCAACGAGACCAGTGCAGGCCTCTTCTCTCCTCTCCAATCTGACAGAGAAGAGGGAAAGTGGGACAGACTATTTCCTTTCAGTCACTGCTAGATGGGGGTGGGGGGGTGGGGAAGAAGTTCTGACACCCAAGGACCTCTGTCTCGTCCTCCATCGTCCATCCCCCAGGAGGGTTCCTTCCTGTTTCAAATAAGTCCTTGTTTGGAGTAATTTCATAAGCAGTCCCCAGGGACTTCCTCCTTCTGCTAAGGACCATCGATAGCTCCACAGCCTAAGACCGCTCACAATCCAGGGCTGCAGCAGAGTTCCTTACCCAGAATCCTGTCCCTCACTTGAATCCAACTTGCTTGCATGTCATGGCATCACCAACATGGTCCTCTTTGAGAATGAAAGACAAATGGCGGTCCGCACCCAGAGTCCTCAGGAATTCACTGAGCCTCTTTTATGATACCTACAATCCGTAGGCACCCACAAATCCGTTCTATGGAGGGAGGACATCTGCCTTACCTCTGTGGATCAAGCCTCTAATGGTGAATGAGCAGTCAGTTACTCCCTGCCTCCACCCCCCACCCCCACTGACCTACTCTCCTGTTCCTCCTCCTTGCACAGCTACGGGCAGG